AGAAATACCAAAAAGGTCCAACAAGATAAAAGACTGAAAAGTGCCTACAGGGTTTGTTCATATGGTTTCACTGTGGGTCTTGGCCTGAAGTTGAAAGATTCTCTTTGTGGAGGAGTAAGGAAGACAGGTGACAAACATGAAGTCCTTTTCAGTGGAGATTCTTGAAAGCAAGAGAAATAAATTAGGGCCATGAGGCACCAGGGACATTTGTTTTTGTTTTGTTATGGGTGGGATGTATTTTGTTATGCCTGGGGTGTACTTAGAGGCAGAGGGAAAATGGTCAACAGAGAGGTAAAGGTTGAAGATACAGGAGGCTATCAATCATACTGGAAAGGGGAAAGGCATACACAGTTCCTCTGCCCCCATTCATGGTTTTGCATTCTGTAGTTTTCGCTCTCTATAGGCAACTGCAGTCCAAAAAATTCCAGAAAATAAATAATTCATAAGTTTTAAATAACTTTGATTAAGGCATATTGTTATAATTTTTTTATTATTGTTAATCTCTATGTTTAACTTTTAAATGTTATAGCAGGCATGCATATGGAAAAATCACAGTCTACATAGGGTTGCATGTGGCCCACAGTTTCAGGCATATGAGGAACATATCCTGAAAATAAGGAGGGCTACAGTAATCATGATCAGTTTTGAACAATCTTAGTTCATCTGCCAGGACTGAGGGAGAAGCCCACTATTCCTGGGCTTATTGCACTCTTTACCTGAACACTGTGGGGTTTCCAAAACTCAGGGGAAATCATCCAATGGTGTCTGCCACACCAGGCCTCTCCATACTTAAAAATATCATGGCAAAATTGCATCTGCAGTGATTCATATCCAAAGATTGGACGGCTTGGAGTCTGCCCACATTGTACATTTTAGTTCAAATATTTTTCACTGCGTGGTGTTTCTCAGTCCTACCATAGTATCATTTAAGCCTGAGTGTATGAAGACATGCTACTTGTCCAACTCAATTTTTTCCACATGCTAGCACACCCACCCTGGAATTTAATGGATAGTAAAATTATGCAAAGAATCCCCATGTGCAACAAGAACAAGGATATTTTCTGCTAAGCCCACCTCCAACACAAACATGTTCACACCAGTCAGTGCTATACATAGAACTTTCTCTGGAATACCTACATCTATTTGCCACACTGTTGAGCAAATGTGCTTTCATTCTCTTGATTAAAATAACAGGAAGTGTCATCATTCTTGAAGTCTTGGTATTTACAACAGGAATATAACACACACACACACACACACACACACACACACACATAGAACTGTGGAGACCCTTTTGGATCTATTAGCAAGGCATCGGTACCATCCATGCCTTGGGATGGAAAGTCCTGCATCAAAATAATCTTGCTTCTCAAGCTATGTTCAGACTACTTGAGGACCCAACCCAAAAGCCTACAGAAGTCCTCTATAACCTCAGCCTCAAAGGGGCCTCTGCCTCTTCAGCCAGTCTGGCAAGTCATGGAAATTCTACTCTTGCAAAGGGAGCTGAGGATACAAGAGAAGTATTTTTTCAATATTTACTTTGACCAGTGAAAGAGCTATGACAGATTTTTTTCTTTTCCCCAAGACACAAAGTGACATTTTAAAGGAGAAACCACTGTTTTGGTGCCATGGAGTCATTTAAAAATAATATTAGAATAAAAACTTAAAGGAATGTCTGCTTAAGCCCAGCTGTCCAAAGCCTCCTATTTCAAGAATTCAGACACTTTCTGCAGATGGAAACAAGACTGCTCATTTCAGCCTCTTCTTTATTGGATCCACATCTTTGTACTTAGTATCAGATTCAAAACTAGTGACATCTTTTAGGCTCAAAGGCCCCCTTTGCCTGTTTGGCTGTTAAATACATGCTACATTGTAACCTTGCTTCTTTTTTCATGTTTATGTTTTGTTCTCCCAATCAGATCATGAACTCTTTAAGGTCAAGGGCCAGGTCTTGCCCTCCTTTTATTTCTTGCAGAGTAGTGCTTGTCCTGATAAACTTGCGGGAAACAGTTGTTGAGTGGATGAATGAATGAAAGAATGATGAAAACTGGACAGGAGTGGTAGGTGTTTTGCTAGGCATCCTGGTAAAGAGGATTACAAGAGTCAGGTCAGATTAACAGGAAAAGTGATAGAGGGAAAAGAATGTTGTGTTTTGAGCCAGCAGACATGAGTCCTAGTCCCAGGCTGTCTTGTTTGCCTTCACTCAGCCAACAAACATTTCTAGAACTTGGAATGAGCTGGGTAGACATTATGGAAGGCACCGAATAAGACAAAGTCTCGCTGGGTGCTGGTGGTTTATGCCTGTAATCCTAGCTACTCAAGAGGCAGAGATCAGGAGGATATCGGTTCAAAGCCAGCCCAGGCAAATAGTTCATAAGACCCTATCTTGAAAAAAACCCATCAAAAAAAGGGCTCGTGGAGTGGCTCAAGGTGTAGGCCATGAATTCAAACCCAGTACTGCAAAAAAAGAAAAAACAAAAAACAAAGTCTCTGCCATCAAAGTGTGCTGGTGGTTGTAAAGAAGACATGTGGAGAGCAGGGATTATAGATGTGTGAGGCAGGAGATTTGATCACGGTAAGCACAGGACACATGGAAGCAAGGTGGGGCTTCTATATTAGACTGTGTTTTCCAGGAAAGCTTCCTGAAGGAGTGACTTTGGATTCAAATCTTGAGGGAAGAGAGAGTGTTGTTTAAAGATTGACTGGGGAGTCTAATTGCAGGTAAAGGGACTCTTATGTGAAGATATTCTATATCATGAAATAGGATGTAGCATTTGAGAGCTAAAGTATCACATAAAGGGTGGCCATGGCAAGAGATGAAGCTAGACAGGTTAGGCTAGAGCTACTTTGCAAAGTAAAGTAGTCTTGCAGCAATGTAATTTAGTAGTCAAGGGTAGAAGTTTAGAGATTTAAGGAACTGAGTTCAAATCTCAGCTCTGGTATATACCAGCCATGTGACAGTAACTAAGTTTTTTTAAAGTTCTCCAAGTCTTAGTTTCCTTAATGCAATGTTGGACTGTTTCATTTATCTGTTGCTGCGTAACAAATAATTCTCCAGTGTAATGGCTTAAAATGGCATGCATTTTTAATTCTCACAGCCTCTGTGGGTCAGGAAACTGGGCCTGGCTGAGCTGGCTCCTCATCTTCAGAGACTCTCACAAGGCTTGATCAAAGAGTCAGCCACAGTGTCATCTCAAGACTCAAGGCTCTGCTGCCAATCTACTTACTGGCTGTTGCTAGAGAACTCAGTTCCTTGCTGGCTGTTGGCCTGAGGCTACCCACAGTTCATTGCAATGTGGCCTTTCCAATACAAGAGCTGGCTTCATCAATGTCAGCGGGAGAGTCTCATAGCAAGACAGAGGGAGGGCACAATGTTATGTGGCCTCCTCATTGAAGTGAGTTCTGGTCACTGTTGCCACATTTTATTGGGTAGACATCACTGGTCAGCCCACACTCCTGGGGCAGTGTTTACACAAAGGAATGAACACCAGGAAATCAGGATGTCTGGTGTCATCCTGAGTCAGGCCATCTTGAGTCAGCCTGCCCCACTAATTTATAGCTTAGTACTGCCAATCTACCTTAGTTATTACTATGCTAAATTGAGAGATTAGGCAAAGCTACAGGGAGCCCACGGAGGCATTAATATTAGAGAACACTTTAAGGTGACCTTGGACAAGTGGAGTCACCTCCTGTCTTTGAGCCTTCATTTCATCCTCAGTAAAAAGAAGAATACCTAACCCCAAGGGGAGGTGGGGGGGGGGATGAGAAAAATATGTGCAAGCATAAATATGTTGTTGTAAGAGCAAATATATAACTCTCTGAGGAAGCAAACTGCTTTGGGCCAATTTTCCACTTTGTGTTGACTCTGTGAGTTTCACACTCTGATGTCTTTAAAGTTTTTAGAGTCTTAAGGATCCAGTGGGGGGGGGGCGGGGAAAGTAAGACAGAAAACAGACTATGGGAAATTTCAAGCTCCTGATAATGAAATGGTAATAAAATCTCGTCCGGCTCCTGAGGCTTTGCAAAGGGGATGTTTATGGTGCTCGGGGTTCCCCCACACCCCCGCAGCTGCTCCAGGTTGTGTGGTTTCCAGTCCTGCAGAGCAGCTCAGGTTACTGACTCCTGGGGCTGCCTGCGAGAGCAGCTTCTAGGGCCGCAGGCAGCGGGCAAAAGATCAGGTCCCTCCACCCCGGCGCCTGGCCCATTTCAGCTTGGTTCATAAACGGGATGCCTCACCCCACGTCCCAAATGGGGTGGATCACACAGTCGGATTCATGGTCTTCCCAGGCGCGGTTTTCTCCTGGGAAGGTAAACAGCACGGCCTGGTGAGGACCGACGGGCATTTCAGGGGGTGGCAGTCTTTCCCCAGCGGCGCGCCCTGCGGAGGGGGATGGAACCCAGGAATCAGCCCCAGGGCTCGGTACAAAGGGGCGCTTCTCTGCAGGCCCTCTCTGGGTGGGAGCTGCGACAATGCGCCTTTGATTCTCTTGCCCAGGTCCTGGCCTCAAGGGCCAGGAGCGCCCGGGTCCTCAGGACAGGACACAAGCCCCACAGTGAAGCCCACCACCCGCCTGGCGCAGACCCGCCGCCCCACCAGCAGCTGCACTCGCCGCGGGGGTCCTTTGGCCCGAGGTCATCTCCTGCTGCGTCGGGGCCCTCCGTCCTCGCTGGCCATTTGGTCCCAGGGGCAACAGGACCCTCCGGGAAGGTAGGGGAAGACTCCGGGGGCTCTCGGGGAGCGGAGGAGGAGGAGAGGGAGCAGCCCCCAACAGCCCGGGCCAGGGAATTTTTACCTCGCCAGCCCCGGCGCTCGCGCGACCGCTGCCTACAGCAAATTTAACAAGAACCAGATGTGGCTGCGGCTGGCCAACTTTCTCAGAGCCCGTGATTGGTCCCTGGCCGAGGGCTGCAACCAATCAGCGCGCTGGGCGGGCCCGCAGTCCCGCCTGGCCCGGGCGCTCCCAGGGATCTGGGTTGGAAGCCAGCGGAGGCTAGCGGGCTGGCGGGCGGGACCGCGGCTGGCTCTCTCTACGGCGGGACAGCCCAGCCCACGGGCCGAGCAAGCATGCGGGGGGACCGGGCGGCAGGGCGGCCGTCGCTGCCACCGCCACCGCTGCTGCTGCTGTGGCTGTTGCTGCTGCCCTGGGCCGCGGCGCTGCACCCAGGCGAGCTCTTCCCCTATGGGGAGTCGCGGGGAGACCAGCTCCTGCAGGAAGGCGACGACGAAAGCTCCGCTGCCGTGAAGCTGGCAGTTCCCCTGCGCTTCTACGATGCCCAGTTCAGCCACCTCTACGTAAGTTCAGCCCTCCCCGCCCGGTGTGCTACTCTTTGCATTTCTCGCAGCTTCTTTCCAGGGGTCAGTGTAGTGTCTGTCTGTCCCCTGCCTAGGGAAGGGAGGAAATAATCCCCTCCTCCACCCCCCCCCCCGGGAAATGTGACTTTGCAGCTGTGGAGGAGTAAGAATGACCCCCGAGGGGAATAGTTAAGAATTGTTCTCAGCTGCATAGGCATCCCAGGCAGAAGAGAAGGTGGGGTTTGCAGAGAGGGCCTTGAGAAGGCTGTGCACAGCTGCAAGAGCTGGCTGTGCCCTTCGCCATCCAGGGGCTTTCTCCCCAGGGATCTGGAGCTCCAGGGTTGTGCGAGGAGCGAGAAGATGGGTGGGTGGATGAGTTCTAAGGCGTCTACACTTACTGCCTGCACCACGCTGGAGGGTAGGGCTGGACGGTCATTAAAGTTGCTCTGGTGGCCCTGAACCTGAACTCCCAGCCAAGTGAGGAAGAGCAGAGGCTTTTTGCCTCGAGCAGTCCCTTCCCTCCCTACGGAACTGGGGGCGGGGGCGGGGAGGGGAGACGCCCCACTGGAGCTGGCCGCCCTAGGGCCTGAGTGACCTTCACCTTTTTGTTCTTCTCTTCTCCCAGGTGGGCACCAATGGCATCATCTCCACCCAGGACTTTCCCAGGGAGACCCAATATGTGGACGATGATTTCCCTACAGACTTTCCGGCCATCGCCCCCTTTCTGGCTGACATCGACACGAGCCGTGGCAGGGGCCGGGTCCTGTACCGCGAGGACACCTCCCCGGCAGTGCTGAGCCTGGCCGCCCGCTATGTGCGCACAGGCTTCGCGCGCTCGGCGGCCAGCTTCGTCCCCACCCACGCCTTCCTGGCCACCTGGGAGCAAGTGGGCGCCTATGAGGAGGTCAGGCGTGGGGCTACGCCCTCAGGAGAGGTAAGTAGGGGTGGGGAGGGGGGGAATGACCGATGGGCTTGAATTTTGGGACTGGCTAGGGATTTCTTCTTTTCTATAATGTGCTGAACCCGATTTTTTTTGTTCTTAATTTTATTTTTTTGCTGGCACCATAGCTGAAGTGGCTTGGAAGTGAAGGAGGCCCTTGTCGCTAGGGTAATTCTAAAGCTTCCACAGGTGGTTACTTTAGCAAGGAGAAGTTCTTAGGGAAATGAAGACCGGAGTGCCAAAGACCGGAGGAACATAAGACAGTTAACTGTTTTTAGAATCACCTGTAATACACAAGTACAATCAGAAAACACAGGAAATTTCAAAAAGACAAACTAATCATTTTCCTACAGCTGTTAAATATTTTTGTGTATCCATTTTCCATAATTTCTTTCTTCTGCATTTTATTATTGTTATCAGGGATTATGGGTTGACATTGCACATACTGTTATATAACTTTCCCTTTTCGCTGAATAATAATATATTCAGAATATCTGAATATATTCAAATAGCAAATATATTTCTATAACATCACTTATAATGACCATGTAGTATTCCATCCAGTGCATTTTTTGCAGTTCACTCAACCCGCGTTCCCAGTAGTCATTAAGGTTATTTTCCCATGTTTTCATTATTATAAATAATACCACAAAACCCTTTTTAAAGAGTTAAATCTTTGCACATGTCCTTAGTTGACATCCCAGGAAGTGCAACTGATAGGCCAGAGAGGATATACTTTTTAGTAAGGTTCATTATAGCTTTTGCCAAATTGCTCTCCAGGTACCAATTTACATGCTCCTTAGTTTTCAGGAGGCTGTCTGTGGTGTATTTTATGGTCTTCATGGAGGAAGCAAAACAACCAGGGCTCAAGTCTTTGGTCTTGGCAGTCACATTTGAAGAACTCCAAATGGACATGGGGTGGGGCCAGGGTAGTTTGGTAAATGGTAAATTGCCTCATTTCTGGAGGAGGGAGTCTTCCTTCTATGAAAGTAGACCTGCATATACAATGTCATAGTCCAAGGGCAAAGCCCTATTTATTTTAATGTACCAAAGTGTTTCTTGGCTATGGAAAGATAGCACTTGTCATCACTTAGAGGTGAAGAAGCCAGCCCACTGCCAATGACTCCTTCAAGATGGTGCAGTTCTTGTCCTGTGTCTTAGAGTAAGCGGACCATTTCCTGAAACCTGTACTAAGTAAAGAAGATCTAGAAATAAAAATCATTTGACTTCATGGTTTCTTACTATTCAGGTTTTTGGCCAAGCAACACTTACTTTTGTTTATTGGATAACTTTTTAAATGTATGAATTTGACATCAATTATAGTCAAACAAATTGCATGCCTTTGTGCATGTCACTGGGCCAGAGAGAGAGAGTTAGAGAGGCTACAAAGACAGATACAGCAAGGCCCTACTATTTTGTTTCATTTCTTCATTTTGTTTATAATTAAAAATATTTAAAATCAAGTGTCACATTCCAATGGAAACTTTGGAAAACAAGAAAATAAACATTTCTAATTCCACTAGCTGGAGGTCACCAATGCTCATACTTCATTATATTTGCTTGCAGTCTTTATAAAAGAAACTTACATATGTGACTTTTTCGTGTGCATATACAAATAATTTATATTCAAATATGCTTGAGATTTATTCATCCAACAAGCCATTTTAGTGCATGCCAGTACTGGAATAGACACTGCGAGAGGACATAATCTGACTGTGAAGAACCTCGTGCTTGCTAAAAACATTGATTATTTTTCATTATAGTAAGTGTAGTAGCTTTCCGACTTAAGGAGGTTGGCCCTAATCTTTCCTTTTTAGGGGACTCCATCTGAGAAAATTTTAGTGAAGGCACTTTGAGTTGAGTAGAACATTTGAGATAGAAAAGATAACACATGCTATGGAGTATGGGGCGGGCATGGCAGGTGGTACATATTACTGAAGAGGAAGGGTAGTGAGATAGGATGCTGGAAAGGCCATGGGGTAGTGGCAGGTCATGCTCTGTGGAGTGTGTGGATTCCATCTCTTGGTGGTGGGCAGCCTTTGAAAGATTTTAAGCAGGGGATCCATGTGTTTTTCGTTTGGTTTTTTTGAAAGAGAGCTCTTTTTGATGGTACTGAGAAGGTAAGAGCCCACAAAAACAGACTATTTAAAAAATAGTAAATGTGTTGTCTATTCAAGCTATCTTGATAAATTCTTGTCAGAACATTGTATCATACTGTTTGCCTATCACCATCTTACAAGATAAACACAAGAATTACTGTTTCCATTTCATAGATAATGGCAAATATCTATGGTAAAGGGATTTCCAGAATTCTGCTCTTAGTGAGACAAAGGCAGACTTAGAATACAGATTTCTTGGGTTTTAGGTTTTCTAAAAAAATTATACCCAGACTTTTCATGCAAGACCCATTTCCTTGGTGTGAGTGATGTATATAGGTAGATAGAACAATTATTGTTGTGCTTTTTTCAAAGATTTCTAATAAATAGGGTTTGAGTTTAATTATCTTAATGTGATATTAGTACCAGGAGAGTTTTTAGAGCTATGTTTCATTCAAAGGAAGCATGAACTTGGAATGAAATTTGCTGTGAAGGACACTTTTGATCTAATATCAAAATTAGCCTTCCAATACTCTGAAGAGAATTCAGCTGTATGTCCTACTTTGTCAACAGAAAAAAAGAAAGACAAAGTTGAGTGAGAAGAATCAGAGAGAAGAACATTTTCACAGAGGCTCTGAGATCATGAGACCATGCTAGAGCTTTGGGATCCCAATTTTATCAGGGCTTATCTGAAATCAAAGTTACAACACTGATGAGATGACTATTAATTACTTTTCTCAGCATGGATATATTCATATTCTCTGTCTGTCTGTCTGTCTCTCTCTCTGTTTCTCTCTTCTCTTTCTCATTTTCATTCTCATTGCTGGGAATTATCCCCAGGTCCTCATGAATGCTAGGCAAATGCTCTACCACTGAACCACACCCTAGCCTCAATAATACTTCCTTGTCAAACTTTCAGGTTGGTCGTGAAGTCAATAACAAGATAAAACATTGCAATAAAAATATTTTTTGAAAGGCTACCCAGTGATTTTGGAAGTACTGACTCATGCACAGTCTTAGTTTCCTTACAGGATTGTTGTGAGAATTAAGGGACATTGTCAAGTAGCTGCTTTGATTCCTTAGACCTAGTGTGTGTGGGTGCTCAGCCAGCCTGTGTTCCCCTACATTGACTTGAGAAGACCAGATTCTAGTTCTTTTGTTTCTCAATCTTGTAAGGATTCTGTGAGACAAGTCCTTTGTGGAAGGATTCTTTAAAATAGAGGGTTTTCTGAATTACAACCTTTTCTAGTCCTTTTTTTCTTTTTTGGATGGGAGTTAGGGTGGGGAAAGATTTGTAGATTCTCTCTTTAACTTTTCTGATAACATCTTTCTTCAGACATTGCCATATGCTTAATTGGCTTCAGAATTTGTTTCATTTAGAAAGGAGATGGAGAGTTAGTTTGCATGAGGATGTTTTTCAATTACCCACATTGAAGGTTCTTCTGAATATTTTAAGAGTCCTGGGACTTGAGTGCTTGCTTTTATGGTTTACTGGAGATAGATTTTGGCAAACACTAATCTCCTTTGCTTGAAGGATTGTATGAGCTCTGTATGGCTTTCTTAAATCTTGCTATACTAACCTTGTATTGCAAAGTTTGGGAAACTTGAAGAAATCAGAGGAATGGCATCTTTGCCATTTAAAACACTTTTCATTGGTGCCCTTTCTCTCTCTCCATGGACATTCATTCACATTGGGTGTGATGGGATTCTGTACCTGAAATGGCAGGAATGTCAAGGTAGTAACTGCATCCAGCAAATAGTGTTTATCAGTTCCATTAATCTGTCATGGGCAGCTCACAGACATTCACAACACCAAAGAAGTCATGGTGTTGATCTTCAAAGAAGTTATTGATGGAAGACACAAGAATAAGTGTGTACTTTAGCTATGTTTGTTGTTCTCTGTGTGTTTTTGTTTGTTTTCAGGGGAGGAGTATTGTGTTATCATTTTAGGGATGGGTTATATATAAGGTTGCCCAGTGGAGGTGGAGGTCTTAATGTGGGGACCAGGCATGTTGACTTGGTGTAAAGGATGAATGAGAGTCAGACCAAGCTGGAATTTTGCTGTAGCTTTCCTGCCTTTTTTTTTTTTTTTTGGCAGTACTGGGGATTAAACCCAAGATCTCACACATGGTAGGCAAATGCTCTACCACTTGAGCCACACCCTAAGCCCTTTTGTTTTTGAGAGTGATTTTGGGGTTTCCTTGGACTAGCCTTAAACTCATAAACTTCCTGCCTCTGTCTCTGAGTAGCTGGGATTGCAGGCGTGCACCACCATGCTCAGCCTAAGCTTTTTGATTTCTGGAGCTGGAGACCAGAAGAGGGAGGTCTGCAGTTTACCTGAGAGTTTACCCTGAGTCTGGATATAGCTGTGAAGACAGAGAGAGTAAAGACACATATGGAAATTGGTTTAAAAAATGCAGAAGCTTTGCTGAAGAGTAAGTGTCAGGAAGGATATTTATATTGGGTATGTGATGGTATTGAGCATTTATTTTAGAATTTCTGGCAGAAGCCATAAGATCTAGGGCAGAAAGACCAGTGAGGGAAAAGCATGCACATGACAGTGTCCTATAGGCAGTGGGAATGAAGAATTACACCAAGGGATGAAGGGTGGTGTTCACACCAAACATCGGAGTCCAGAAGGCAGTGGTCCTTCAGCTCGAGTGGGCATGTGTCCTGAGGGAGGAGAACTCTGTGACCCTGAAGGAGTCGCCTTACTTTTCAGTTTTCGTTTTCTTTTTTAAAGCCTGTGTAGGCAGTCCCTTTGGGAAAGGGCTGGCACTATTTGGATTTTTTGCCAGATGACTGTTAGTAATTAAACAAATTGCAAAAGTTAGAAACCCTTAGGGAGCATCAGCCTAGCTCTGCTATGTGTCACATCAACACTGGGCAGTGATGTCCTGAACCTGGAGGTGGGGGGACAGCTTTCTGCCTGGTTTCTGCTGAGGGTTCTGGCTTTTCTCCTTGATAACAGGATGGCAGACTCCTCAAGCTTGCAGCACTGGCCAGCTATTCTCTGTACTGCTCCTTTCCCTGAGGAGGCCCCTCTCTCCTCTCTGGGATCTGGGGAAGTCAGGAACCAGTGACCCTTGTGTAGGGTTTGGCAGCCCATCTGAGGACTTCCCTTCAGAGCACAAGTGAGCCAGTGGGGCCCTCGCAAAGGCTGTATGGAAGAATGTGAAGACCTTTCCGGTTTGGAAGTCAGTGAGGCAGTGCCTGGGAAGAGGACCCTTGAGGACTACAACAAGTGGCCACTTTCACAATTAGATGTAGAATTTGTCGACCTGACAGAGAACTTTACCAGTGATCTTTTGCTGTGTGGGTGGTTTTGAAACAGCCAAACTCTTTTGGAGTGCACTTCAGGATCATAAATTCTATTAAAAAGAAGTTGTTTTCTTCATGTGATATTTGCCTGTTCCAGGAAACACTTGTCACCTGTAATGAGTGCTTATATGTATTTGATGTAAAAGACATCAAATACATTTTAATTGAAATATATCTGGCTGGCTGACTGAAAGAATGAATAAAATAATGTACTAAATACCCAGACCCACAGGAAAAAGTCAGACCCTCCCCTTACTGCTCTGTTTACTTCTTCCCACCCTTCTCCCCCACCCCGTTCAACTCCTCACAGTCTATACAGTGCCTTATCTGACAGAATTCCTCTAAATTTAGAACCAGGATTCCTCATATCTGGTGTTGATTGTGGGCAATAGTCTATGGCAGGAGCCTTTAAAGCTTAGCTTTTTGAGATGGGATTCTTTCTCTTCCCCTGGTTGAACTTTATTCATACTGAAATGAGACTCCAAAGTGGTTGGACCCATGATAATTGACGGTGAAGTATGTGTTCTGTGGAGCCATGAGGCGGAACAGGCTTTGTTTACATTTGTGAGAAGTTAAGGCTTCCTAACTGTGAAGGATTCTAGAAAACACGCTTTGCCTTTTGTTTGTGGCAAAGTCAAGCTTTGCTGATGAAAGAATCAACAATTACAACAATAACACATGTGGGAGGTCCCCTGTCTACTACTTTGTGATCTGAACAATGAATGAATGAAATTTTTTTTTACACAGCAAACAAGACTTTCTGATACAGAACTTAAAGTTTACATAGTTTTTTTTTTCTAGAAAAGTGTGTCTGACACTTGCATTTCTTCATCCTATCAGCAAAATCTCAAAACTATACTTTGAAATTAAACATTGAAAGGAAAGATTAACATTCAAAAAGAGTCAGAACAACTTGGCAAAGAACCCAGGACAGACCAAGAGCAAGAACGCATTCCTTCCTTGTTGTTTTACTTAGTTAAAAGTGATGTTCTGCTGTGTGCCTAATTTTGTCTCCTGAGCAAAAGGGGAAGGTAATGATGCTACTGAATGATGTTTCTAAAAGATACGTTATTTATAAAGCAATATTGTTTAAATCCCTCCCCACTTCCCTACTGAGTTGTGAAATGAGTGTGAGGCAGACTTACAGTCCTGAATACAGCATCTTTTTAAGATAATCAAGTATCATTAACAGATCTTTTAAAGAATAAGGGGCAAACAGCTGAGTGAAGGTAAAGGCAAGAAATGTTTTGTTAAAACTGTGAGCAAACTGACGAGCAGAGAGCAATTCTGTAGTCACGTGGGTGTTGGTTGAGTCTGGTTAGCTCAGCTCCCGGTTTCTCTCTGGTCTGCTTTGGCTCCTGCAGTGTTTATCAGCAGGATAAGCAGGCTACTTCTAGGGGGCCTCCCTGTCCCCACCCTGAGGTCTTGGCACACACCCTCCTCTGTGGCCTCATCCACCTTCCCCAGTAATTCTCCTACAATTCCAATTGCGGCTGTTTCCCCTGATAAACTCTGGGATGGCCCCAGGCACTGTCTCTGTCCTTGCTCCTTTGCTTAGCAGGCTCTCTCAGCTGTTCAAGTTAATGTACAGACAGTTAACCAAGTGACGTGAGGTGACTACTAACTAGAAACGCCTACCAATGTGTTATGAGGGTAATAGAGCAGAAATGGTTCTACAGGGAGTCACAGTGTATCCTTAAGGGGCAGCATTGGAAGATCAGAAGGATTTCTAGGTACAAAGAAGAATGACAAAGTATTTTAGTGTACATAGTTCATATGGGGACTGCCAGATAGTCTGGTGAAGATGCAGTGGAACCGAGCCTGGGAGGGGAGACAGGGCCAGGTTACAAATTCTTTGAACTTCGTGCTAAGCATTAGTAAGGAGCTACCTGACTTGAAGCATATCTGCTAGACCCTGGGTCTCTCTTCCCTCATCTGTGACTTGAGGACAACTCTGGTGAAAAGAGACTGAGGCTGTGAGAGCAGCAAAGAGGCCTTCAGATGAGCCAGCGCCTGACACAGCACCCACCCATAATAGTAGGCACTTAATAAATAGATAGATGAATGGATGGTCCAGAAGAGAGATGTAAGCCCTAGGTTATAAACGAGGGCAGTGACTGGAGGGAATCACAAGTTCATTTTATTCCTTTTAGCTCTGAAAGGGTTTTGGATGAGAGAAATTTCTCACCTTAAATTAAAAAAAAAAAAAAAAAAAAAAACCTATGTTTTACCTGTGTGTATTTCAACTATTGATCCAAACTGATAGAAGATGCTCATGGTAAGAAATAACATCACTTCTCAAGTTACATTTGTAATTTGAAGAGGAAATTCTAAAGGAAATTATGTTTAAAACAAATTTGAGGAAATTCTGAAAAGGGCAAAAATCCTTTGCACTCTGGGACCTTGTTTGCTTTCTGAATTTTGTCTCCTTTGTTTGTTTGTTTTTTAGGGATGTTTCCAATAACTTTTTTTTTTCACAGTTGAACACTTTCCAAGCAGTTTTGGCATCTGATGGGTCTGACACGTACGCCCTCTTCCTTTATCCTGCCAATGGCCTTCAGTTCTTTGGAACCCGTCCCAAAGAGTCTTACAATGTCCAGCTCCAGCTTCCAGCCCGGGTGGGCTTCTGCCGAGGGGAGGCTGAGGACCTAAAGAGAGAAGGACCATACTTCAGCTTGACTAGCACTGAACAGTCTGTGAAAAACCTCTACCAGTAAGTAACATGGAGCGTAGAGCCACCATGGCTTGCTATGAAAACATTGCTCTTGGAACCACATAAAAGTATCTAGTAATCTAACTGCCTTAATGGAGGTTTTCCAGGTTAGTCACTTCACAGGAGGAGATGTTGTGATTTAGTCTTTCAGACAGATACTGTTAAAAATTAAGAGTAATATAATTTGGGAAAAAAATAAAACGGATAGGAGATTTTTAGCATTTCTTTATGTTTTCAGAACCTGAAATCATACTGGTAGATTTTCCACGGGGTGAGCGCAATTGAACCCATTCCTTAGTCTCACCAGTGGCTTATGCTAGTGTGTTAATAAGCCCTTTTACATTTTTGTCAGCCTCATTAGTGCTAGTATGAGCCTTATGAACCCCAGATGGATTTTATTTTGTTTGCTTGTGCATTTAAGCCTTTCCCGAATAGTGGCCCCCAACACACTGGTTACTTTCTGGCCTCCCTTAACTGCTTCTCAGTTTCATCGAGCCACTCCTAGATACAGGAACATCTGCCACTTTTATATGCCATTTACTCTGCTTGGCTACCAAAGAGTAGACACTACAGTCAGAGACAGTTATTTAGAACTGGCATTAAGAGCATATTATTTGCTAAGCATTGTGATAAACACTTTGTAGATGTTATCTTAATTAAAACTCACCAGAATTGTAGGAGGCAAGTACTACTGTTACTCAATTTTACAAATATGTGTAGCCAAGTTAAGTTAGATGCCTATGATCTTAGAGTTCATTGGCTAAGCCACAGTTCAAGCAAGCTCAGGTCTGGAGTGCAGAACCACCTACTCTATTTTCTGCTGAGTCCTTGTCTCCTTTCCCATTCTGTGGCCATGTCAGGCATCGTTAGTTCCCTGTGTAGCATGCTACTTGGTCTAGACCCTGGAACAACTTAGCTCATTGCCTCTCTCTCTCCTCTTTCCTTTCCTCTCTCCTCTTCACTTTCCTCTCCTTCTCAGGAGCTCACAGATTCTCTGCTCCTCAGATAGTATAGAGGGCTGAAGGAGTTTGGGGCTGAGCACTTGAAACGCCAAGAGTTTTAAGGTCCAGACCCTGCACAAACTCCAGTAAGGTAGATAAACAATCACAGAGCACTGGAGCCAGTGTTGATATCTACACAGGGGACAGGAGGCAACGGGGACCAAGACGCCTGTGAGGAAAAGCTGTGTGTCCCCCTACCACAGCCACCTGGGTTGCTGAGATCTAATGCCTACACATACACTCAGTACACATGCACACACAGACACAGCCCTCCATTGACCCTCTCCAGAACATCGTGTGTGTTCTGCATTACAAAGCCAACTTACTGATGAACATTTAACATGTTTCTAAACTAAAGTAAGCACGAACACCATCCGGGTTTACCCCTAAATGCTTCAGTATGCATCACTAAAGAGAAAAGTTATTTTTCTAGTCAATGGAATCTTTCTTTTTCTCAAATTCATCCCATGTAAAGCCAAAGGTCATACATTAAATAATTCATAATGTTTGTCATACTCTTCTGCATATTTAAAAATGAATATGTGCATTTGCATTTGGGGGAATTACACTATTCTAACTTGAGAAGGAAAGTCAGTAGTTGCTAAGTAGGTCTTATGCATGTAGCTTGTGCCACATTTTTTTGTGGTGTTTCTTCACTTAATCTTCCTAAGAACTCAAGCAGGAAGGCATTACCACTCCATTTTGTAGCACAGTTTTCCTTTCTAGGAAATAAATGAAGTACTTTCCATCACTAAGCTTTCCAGATGACCTTGGAGTTTAGAATAAACTTTCCCATCATGTAAGATGAGAAAAGCCAGGATAGTGATTTATAGTTCATTAAAGACTATTTTATTTAGCTTTCACCTGCTGTAATTTCTATTTTCCTACATTTTGAAGCTTTTATAGTTTTCTGTTCTCAGTGCAAGAAGAAATTTCACAGCTGCCACACCTCTACTGTGATAAAGTGCTCGATCTCCTCAGACCTCTAGGATTTTCTCTTAAATTCTTTAGCTTTTCTTATTTGCTTGCTGAAAAGCACATCATTCATTCTTATGAATGTATCAAATGTATGCCGCATATTGCACAAAGGATGCTAGCTCTGCTTCTCTTTCCCTGAGTTAACTATAGCAGGAGCAGCAGGAGTGTATATAACCAGTCACAAATGTATGTGCGCTCACGCGGGCACACACACACACACACACACACACACACACACACGGGAGGGAGAATATTTCAAATTGAAAATATTGATATTGAAATCCAAATGAACATGATGAATACCTACCCCAAAGAGCAAAAAAGACTCCCATTCTTATACAATTCAATGACGTTTAAAATTTATCTTATTAGTCATTCACTCTTTCTGATTGCGGACTTTTGAGGAAATTCCATAGCGTGGGAGAATTTGAGCATGGTATTTTGTATAAACATCAGAAGAATATATACAAACTGGTATATTCAAGCTAGTCAGATCCTTGTTAGCTCAACTTTTCTGTTATTTTTATGTGTAGCTGGGCACCTGTGGCTCATGTCTGTAATCCTAGCTACTTGGGAATCTGAGATTAGGAGGATCATGGTTCAAGGTCAACCTGGGCAAAAAGTTTGTGAGGACCCATTTCAACAGGAAAAAGCAGGGTGTGATGGTGCCTGCTGTCTGTTATCCCAACTATGATAGAAAAGCCTAAAATAGGTGGATCCAGGTTCTCCAATATAAACAGAGCAAAAAGGACTGGAGACATAGCTGTAGAGGTAGAGCGCCTGCCTAGCAATCATGAAGCCCCAAGTTCAAACCCTAGTACTGCCTATAAAACAAAAACAAAACAAAAGGAATCTTATGTATAATGATCATTAGAATATTTTGAAGACCGACTGGAATCCACGTTCTTCTCAAGTGGAGAAAATGAGTGATCTGGTTTCCAGATATTTCTGGAAAGACTTTTCTCACCTATGACCCATTTTGATTAATTTTCCCTTTAACTTTGTGCTACATTTGCTCAATTTTTTTTTTTAGTCTTGGACATTTATACATTTTTGAGTTTTGTATATTGATTCATCAGTCAGTAGAATGTTAATTCAGATGCTGATTGACTATAATTTATTGACTTTCTGACATTTTGTAATTTAAATGTTTAGGACGTGTCATCAGCACTGAATTCAGGTCTTAGCGCTGCCAATTATTCATCTTAAGAAAATTCATTAACCTCTCAAAACCTGTTTTGTCCTCAGTAAAATTGAACTTGACCACCATTTCTACCTTGCAGAGTACAGTGAAGAATGTCAAGCACTGGGCACAGGGACTGGCTGGTGACCAAAGCATAGAGTGGTCATTGCTGTTTTAAGTGTTTGATGAAGAATTTTAAGTATAAGTTTTCGTGAGTGTGTGACAAGTTTTCAGACAAAGTTGAGGAAGGGAAAATATGCCCACATTTCGTGTTTTTTTCCAATAGCCAGATTTTAGCTAAAACACTTGGATTTGGAGTATAGAATAGATTTATAAGTAGATGGTCTGGCATTTGAATCATGTTAAATAAAAGATAGCTGACATCAAAATTCCAGTGTAATCCTTTCAGTTCTCACTTTCCTCTGGTGTTATATACCAGAGAAAACCCCAAATCTGATCTTAATAGTCTTTAGGGTTTTAAAATAAATGGCTTGCTTTTGGGGGAAGGAAAGGTGAATGGATATTTTTGTTACAATCAACTGTGTCCTTGCTCTTTAGACTCAGCAACCTGGGGATTCCTGGAGTGTGGGCTTTTCACATCGGCAGCACATCGCCCCTGGACAATGTCAGGCCAGCCACCACTGGAGGAGATCTTTTCACAGCCCACTCTTCGGCTCCCCTAAAACATTCCCTCAGCCATGCTGCCACCCTGGAAAGTGACTATACTGAGGATAATTTGGATTATTACGACGAGAATGAGGAGGAAGTAGAACATCCCCCAGGGGAGCGAGAGGGGCCACTGAATGGCCGCAGCAGGGTGGATGTGACCTTCCACTCGAGAGCTGATGCGGACCATTTGGGAGGTGGGATGTCTCCTCAAGGTTCTGATCGGGCGTCCCCTTTGCCACATCCAGCACCTAGTGAATGGCCATCCTACTCCGAAACAGAATTAGCCACCTTGGACCCTCAGACCAAAGATGGGGCATCTGTGGGGAAGGTAGAGGCCCCGGATTTAAGAGGCCACGTGGAGCCTTTGGACCAAACAGGGACTGGAAGCTCAGCTCCATCAGAGGCGGGCGGAAGTTCCCCATCTCTGACCCTGGAAGGCCCCCCACCCTACCCTAGAAACAGAAGCCCCCAGCCTTATGATGGAGAGGCGTACCTTCAGAACCAGATCCTCCTACAGACCCTGGAGAAGAAGCCCATCTTCCCAGTTCCCCGGGGCGGGGCCCCACTCCACCCTTGAGTCGAGAGAGGTATGTGGTAGGAGCGGAGGATGACGTCAGTTCCAACGCTGAGGGTAAGTGCATCAGAAAAGGGCACTGAGATTTCATTTTTAAAATGCTGAGTTTGAGTAGACTTGTGATCTCTCCCTCAAGCGAGAAAAGTTTAGCAAGAAGATTGGAACTCGTGTTTACTCCCTGAGTTTTAGGAGATAAATTTCTTCTGCCAAATAAAATCTTGGCAGGAGAGTTCTGGTTGGAACTCTTGACCGTTAATAATGTATTTTAAAAAACAGGCCTCATGAAGAGAGTGGGGAAGACCTGAGTTGCCTGTGCCTGCTGCACTCCCAAGTGCAATGAAGTATTTCAGTTTGAAAGTTCACGAAGGTGAAACGTATGAAGGCTTAAGGTTTTGATTATGAGTCACCGGTGAGTTGTGCGGGCTCAGATGAGCATGCCAGGTTTGAACTGGCGTATGGGCGATCCCCGTGCTCCCCCCGGTGAGAGATCCACTTGCATGGGTCAGGAGAGCACAGGGGGAGTGAAAATAATACACACCTGTGTCTGTTGTCATTTCTGCTTCATGGCTGTACAGCTGTGGCATCTACTTCCCGGGAGTCTTGTCCTTGTTTCATGACTCACGGACTAGAGCCTGAGGCAGAGGGGGAAATACTGGGAGGGGACAGCATTTCATCAACACAGAATGGGAGTCTGACCAGAGGGTCATCCATTTGTTCCAGGGCCTGCTCATCTGACCTCTCTCAGGAGGGAGAAGGTCAGAAGAGAAAATTTTCTTCTGAATCTCCATTTTTTCCCACCTTTTTTGGTGTTCTATCCCTGTTGTGACAAGCATACTGACCTAGCAAAGAGGGCCTTTTGGATTCTGCTGTGACATTGAGCTGCAGGATTTTGCTTGAAGAAGTAATTTTAGGAGGGAAGAAAATATTTCATGACTAATGGGGTATTGTGTAATAATTAGAGGCAAAGCATTGGTGTCAGAGTTAACTTTGAATCCTGGCTACCTCCAAGCAAATTTTGTAACACCCTCACCAAGCCTCTCATTTCTCATAAACTTATTGGCAGGATTAAATGAGATAATATATGCAAAGTGCTTCATGTCTGCATTAGTTGACTCTAAAAATTGTGGCCTCTGTTGCTAATTTAAATTTTAAACGCTGGGAATAGGAGGAAAATGGGTGGAGAACGATGAAAGTGCTTATTCAAGAGTTTTGCCTTAATTTGTGTGTAAGGGTCCACCTTTCTTTCTGTAAAGCTGGAGATGTGGGTTTTATTGGAAGGCTTTGGAACCTTCAGATCCTTCTGTAGATTGTTCAGTACAAGCTCTCTATAGCGAAAGAGATTCTAAAGCCACATGTCAAAGATTTGCGCAAAGGGATTTTGAAATAAAAATGCATTCCTAAATAGCCTTTCATTTGTGGGTTGTGATTTCCTGCCCTGGAAGAACTTGGGAATATTAAACATGATATCCACGGAGCCATCTGTTAAACAGTTAAGAAGGGGCTGCTCGCCCTGCTCTGAGCTTCGTGAGGCTGAGGTTGCTAGAGTAAGAGTGTGCAAGGTTTGAGCAGTGAAGACAGTAGCCATAACTGAATGTAGGCTACTACTGACATCTTGAAAAAGGGGAAATGCATATGAGAATGCTGATTAATGCACTGAGACGGGAAGGAGGGAAAGTCTAACTAGAAGTTTCTAAGTCCTGGAGGGAAAACCTCAGCAGGCTAGAAGACTGCAATTGTTGATGTTTTGTGGGGTGTGAGAGAGAGCAGTGAATCTTCTTCTTTCTTTCTAATAAAACACTAGAGCACCAGACATGCCTCTGATAAATGTGTGCTCACCCTGGGAAGAACATTAGCTGCTAAGTACCACCTTTGCAGCACCTGCTGGCCTTTGCTACAGATGGAGCAGAAAGTGCATGGCTTTGGCGCCAGGTGGACCTAACCTCACACCAGCTCTGCTGTGTGGTTTGGGGCAAGACATTTACTCTGACTTGTTTTCTTCAGCTATAAAATGTAGATAAAAGACCTTATTATGTAGTTAGGAGAATTAAAACCTGGCATTGGAAACCTCACACCAGTACAGTTTAAGCTCATGGTAGTTACCTTGCTAGCCAAGAAATTAAGATTTAAAGGCTTAGAAAATGTCTCTCTTTTTTCTTATTTTGTTTTTCTCCTTAGGGACTCTTTTTACTGATTTTTTTTTTTAAATCAGAAATCCAGTGTGGGGGGAAGAGGTGGCACAAACGATGTATACACATGTAAGTAAATGTAAAAATGATAAAAGGAGAAAAAAAAGTAAAAAAAAAAAAATCAGAACTCCATGTTCTTTTCAGATTATGTGTATACCAGGTGAAAATGTCCAGTCACACTCAGGCTCTGGCCCCAGGTGTATTACTTGCTTTGTTCTGTTTTGCTAGCACACATCACCAGCAGTGCTGTGGAAGTCAAAGCATCCTCTCTCTCTGAGGTGTCTTGATTTTCCAGGGAGCTCCAGTACTTTTTGTCAAGTCAAAACATTAGCCAAACACCCACCATGGACTTTGCTTCCGAGGCAGTAGTGGGAGTCACCTTGGGATTTATTGAGAGCCTGCTGGTTCTGTAAGCAGGAACTCAGCTTTTGGTTACATTTTCTTGGTTAGTCCTCAGGATTGCCTGTGAGCTAGATGCTGCTCTCCTTCCTATGAGAATATACAGCAACTTGCCTTGTAAGAGGGAGAAAGACTGCACCAAGGTCCAGACAGAGGGAAGCTGTCAGGTTCCCAGTGACAGGCAGCATCTGTGTGTGTGGCTGCCATCTGGAAGCCTTGGGGAAAGAGCAGGGTGGGTATAGGGGTGGCTGCACCAGTTCTTGGGATGGAGTCTGACAAAGATGGGGGAAATGTGTGAAAACATTCTGGACAGAGGAGGGACAGAAGTGGAGGTACAGAGGTCGAAAGGGGGAGGGGGAGAGAGAGAGAGAACGGAGAGGTGCAGGTGAGAGGGAGTTGCTAGAAACATCAGCTGTCTGGGACCAGGGGCTGCCTGTGTTGGGAGTAATGGGATGGGGTAGACTTACAGCGGTCTTACAGATTCTGAAGCCTGCTGGGGCACTGCTGTAAGAAGGTTAATTTAATTTCAGCAAGATGAATTGGAGGAGGGGAGGCACCTGGCTCACAGAAACTTCCTCTGTTCATGCCCCACTGAGGATTCTCTTCTTTCTACATGGAAGACAGTCTGGGAGAAGGCAGTGAGTGAGCAGGGATTCCTGGGACCTTGAGCTACTTCTGGCCTTGGGAGGGGTTGGAGGGGGGCTCTGCTCACTGGCCACACACCTGGGAGGAGCTCCAGCAGGCTCTGCACCCAACCCAGCCCTCCAGATGAAAGCCTCCCTCTCCTGAGCACCTTCAGATTGCTGAGAGTCTGTAAATGCTAGAGACACGTGCATGGAGAGGTTCTGTGATAGGGCCCAGGTCCTTCTCCAGAAATGGGGACAGAGTCTGTTTGTAACAGGATTGCTGATACACACAGCCATCCCAGGGTCCTGGTCACTGTTTGCCATTAGCATGGAAACTGGAGGAAAAAAAGGATGCCACTGCTTTTTGTTGTTGTTGTTTTTAATGTGGGGGGTAGGGAGGACAAGCTGTATTGGAGACTGAACTTGGAGCAAGTGCTCTACCACTTGAGCCACGCCCACAACACTTTTGCTTTTAGTTTGTTTTTCAGATAGAGACTCCTGCTTCCCCCCCCCCACACCCCCAAGGCCTCCAACTGCAATCCTTTTATCTCGGTATCTGCGGTAGCTGGGATTACAGGCTTGTAACACCATGCCTGGCCACCACTGCTCTTTTATGATAAAGCACATATTGTTTTTTCTTGCTCATCTGTCATAAGCTTGGTCCCAAGGGCAAACACAACAATGGGATTGGACTATGAGCACATGATAAAAGCGAGAGCACACAAGGGAGGGGTGAGGATAGGTAAGACACCTAAAAAATTAGCTAGCATTTGTTGCCCTTAATGCAGAGAAACTAAAGCAGATACCTTAAAAACAACTGAGGCCAATAGGAAAAGGGGAACAAGTACTAGAGAAAAGGTTAGATCAAAAAGAATTAACCTAGAAGGTAACACCCACGCACAGGAAATCAATGTGAGTCAATGCCCTGTATAGCTATCCTTATCTCAACCAGCAAAAACCCTTGTTCCTTCCTATTATTGCTTATACTCTCTCTACAACAAAATTAGAAATAAGGGCAAAATAGTTTCTGCTGGGTATTGAGGGGGTGGGGGGGAGAGGGAGGGTGTGGAGTGGGTGGTAAGGGAGGGGGTGGGGGCAGGGGGGAGAAATGACCCAAGCCTTGTATGCACATATGAATAATAAAAGAAAAAAAAATAAGCTTGGTCCACACTGTGGAGCCTGTTCACCTCCTGTGGCTGTGTCCTCTCAGTGAGGAGGGCAGTCTTCTGGGCAAGGGCTGAAGACATGTACTAAGTGTTTCTGGAAAAATGAAGATTGACAGATGGGTCAGAACAAGTGCAGAGGAAGATTTTTCCATTTTTGTTAAAAACTCCCAATTAGGACAAGTCTCAAGTACTTTTGCGTCTTTTTTTTCTTTCATGTGTCCCCACCCAGTTTTTCTTTCTATTAAAAGATGGGAGAAAAGTACAAAAAAAGCATTAAATGGAAAAAAGAAATGAGATTTTATTTTATTTATTTTTTTTAGGCTTGCTTTATTTCCACAATGTTTAATAGTTTTCAGAGCACAACTTACACATTCTTGTTATATTTGTTTCTAAGTATTTAATATTTTTCTATACTATTATGAATGGGATTGTTTTCTTAATTTCATTTAGATTTCATTTTTTAGTATGCAGAAATACAATTTTTTAATATTGACTTTATATCCTAAAACCTTGCTGAAATTTTTTTCTTTTTTTTTTTTTTGACAAACCAGTCAAATTTTATTTACTCTATTTAACAACATGCAGCAATAGAAATGCAAATGCTGTATGTTCAGTATCCCATACTGCCTTCCTGAAGTCTAGGCTGGATCCTTCAGAGACCTTTGGTAATCACCTGGCCT